CTAACCTCATTACTGAAGATCCACCAAGACTTGTTTAATCCTCCACCACCCTCAAGCTGTGTCACAGCCTTCCTGATCAAACTCAAAGGGAAACACAAAGGGGAGAAAAAGTCCATGGCAGGTAGGGAAGAAGAACATTCACTGACAGTGTATAATATGAAACCTTATTATTAAGTATGGTCTAATTTACAACTTAGAAATGTCAAATGACTTTAAAGCATTTGTAACTTAACCCACATTGAGCACTCTACTTGTTTTAAATTAATCTGAGAACACATCATAAAATGACCAGAGGTTCTATCACAAATGTACAGTAAATCCAACATTTCATGATTTCACTGGGGCAGCTGTGGCAGAACGTTGGCCGTTATATTCCCAGCTTCTCCGGCCCACATGTCCAAGTGTCATTGAGCAAGACATCAACCCCCAAGCTGGTCCCGGTGATATCACCAGTGTGTGAGGAGTAAATTGTGTGAAAATAATGCAATGCACAGAAAGGTGGTATAGAAGTATAAGTCTATTTACCATCATAAAACTATTGTTTATCCCTTTTAAAAGTTTATGGCTTTCAATAGAAATATGATAGACTTTATTAAAGAGTGACATCAGATTTTGGGCTGGTGCTCAAGGTTATACCAGAGATAATGACTGCATTTCTCTTACACTGCCATTTAAATTGGAAACTTTACAGAATTATTGTGAAGGTGACACCATAGTCCCTGTCATATGCCCTTATTTCTGTCCCCCCCTTTTAAATTAACCTTGCACATATACATGTCAAAAACAAAACTTCTGCAAGTGATAGCGACAATTACCAATTATCTTTAATGACAGAAGCCCAAGTACACCTTATGTGAACACTTTTGTTTTCAATACTTGCTCTAAAGGTTGAGAGTTAGGAGTACTGAATTTTTCACACCAACTGTGTGTCACTACGCTCCATCTCATTTCTCTGATCCTGTCAGCACTAAGGACGAGATAAACTCTAATATAGTGGTTCAACTACAGTTATGGCAGGGCTTAGTATATCTTATCCACTAACATGGAATCCTATGAATGCTACAGTAGTATGAACCCAAGATGTAGCAAAGTAAAACAACTGTTGATACAGTATGTTATTGAAGCAAAATAGTCCAAAGCCATCAGTAAAAAGTAAAACCATACACTCCCACTGAGGTGGGAGGAGAGGCACAGTTGAGGCCATGTGTGGGCTAATTAGGCAGCGTGGCGCAATTATGGTGCTCATTTGACCTGAAGTAGAGATAACAATAACACCTGCTCAGACCACCTCATTGCATTCATAGGTGCATTTGTAATTTTCCTGACAAGCGCATAGGCTATGAAGCATGTGATCAGGTACCCAAATGTATTTAAATGGCCATGCTAACCTAAAATTAACCCTTAAATCTACAACTGATCTGCTGGAATTCACTCTGAATAATTTAATGGGTATCATAAAGTGTATTTTTAAATAAGATAAATAAACTAGTTGACTGTATACAATATATTAATATGGTCAAACATTGTTGGTGCACAGCCAGAGGTGCAGCCGGTGTTTGGGAATCCGAATCCACGTTAGAAAACTACATATAATAACACGTGAAAGCAACTCATGAGCTAAGATAAATAAACAGCCTGCAGACCTATCCATTAATCATGTTATGCTGCAGGTAAAGTTAGTCCGACCTTACTGTGGCTGCTGTCACTGTTAAGTTACAGTTTCTTCAAACAAACAAGTTTCGCACAGTTAGTTTGTTCACTGGCTGTGTGCTCTGGCGGGCCACAGTTTCATCATAAGTACAATGACTGTATTATTGTAGTATATTAAAACAGGGAAACGTTGATAAAGTTACGTGCAAGACCCTTGTGGAGTTCATACGCTGGATGCAGCTGTAAATTAGTCTATATAACTGCTGCTGATCACAGGACCAGAACATTTCTTTCTTCCATGCACAAAAGCTAGTCAGTGATATTAGCAAACTGCTGAGTGAGTATTTATATTTCCTCTCCTTGTTACCATTCACACTTATCCAGTCCGAATTACATACCGACATCCTGGCTGTAGATCCTAGTGGTGTGGATCAGTGAGTCGATGTCTCATTCACTCCTGGCATAACCACTCTTGGTGATGATCTGGCTGAGGGGGTTCAGCCATATGCAGAACAGCAGCGGGGACAGAGCATCTCCTTAGTAAATACCGCACTTATTGTTAACTTGTGCAATTGGCTTGAAGTTACACATTTACATTACATACAGGATACGTGGGTCCACTGGACCCAGGGGTAATAAAAGTGTCTTGCATAATTCAAGCAACTACATCTGCTCTCACAGTAAACCCCCTGCACATTTTAGCATATGTATTGTGGCCTAACAGTGTTACATAATACATTTTTTCCACTCATATCTTTATTATATTTGATTTTCTTAGTGAAAAATTTAGTGAGTCCACCCCAACACTGGCTGAGTAATTCATTCATAAACAATCATTCATAAATGTGATCTAACACAGATAAGGGGCAAATGTTAACCATATATGCTGTTTATATTGCTTGCAATTAGGATGAAGTAAACATGTGTTGAGTATGTATTTTAACATAATATTGTTTGATTGTGTTGAAAAAAAAATTCATTCACATTAATTAATAAATGTGATCTAACAAAGGTCTATTACTTGTAATTGGGATGAAGGAAACATCTGTTAAGTATTTATTGTATTTGTTTGATTGTGTTGAATTTAAAAAATGCAGTGGGTACGCCAGACCAAAAAATACTGCCTGTGTAACAATGCAGCAGGTCCACCAGACCCGGGAACACTGGCTGTGTAACAAAATCTGAATGAAGGGCTATAACAGACTATAACAAGGACATACAAGATCTTTTTATTAGGCTTTTCACTACATTTCCTACTGGATGTGGTGATGCAGCCTGAACTATAGCATGTTGTGACCATGTGAAGGAGAAGCAATGATACCAAGGTCCTTGCAGATCACTAAACTCCTGGAGCAGTCACACACAGTGAGGCCATAAACCCTGGGTCCAGTGTCATAGTCTAATTCTTTTAGTCACTACCCAGAAACCTCATGTCTATAAGTCAGGGTCTGATAGAAGACTGTCCAAAAAACAAACAAACAAGTGCTTCAGCTGATTTATAGAATTTGTAGTGAAACTATGCCCACTCCTTGACACACCTGAACTCTTCTGTTTGGATCATATGACCCTGTTAATAGAACAACCCACTATCCAGAAGAGAACCTGTCAGAAACGGTGCTGCCTGCACCTGACAGTAGTCTAAAATGAATGCATTTTTCCTCATAGAAATGCAAATTTATACAGCAAAAGTCCTTCAAAGTCTAATCAGATCATCTATTATAGAGGAGTGCATGTCAGGTTTCCAAGGGAAACCTGCAGTGTAAGTATTAGGTTTCTGGCATGTATTGTTCGTGAGTTATTATATCCTCAAGACTGTGCCTACACAGACTGATGCCACAGTGATGCATGAGGTCCCACATCTATTGCACTAAAATGAGACAAAATGTGGAGCAATCATTTCTGAGATCATTATGACATCAGATTTTGCTCTGCTCCTCTCATGAATTGGACCCAATGGGCTATATTTAATAACAAAACATATCAGAACAGCACAAACTTGAAATTGCTTACTTTACAAATAAAAGTCTGCAAATTATAGTTGCCATAAGTCACATCAATTATTATTAAAAACAGTCTTTTGTCTACAAAGATGTTACAATAATCCTGTGCACAGCAAGAGACAGCATTAACTGCTCATCTATCCAACTGGGTGCCAAGGGGGAACAGGACTTCCTGTGCACACATGGTCTTCTTTATTTAATTTGCCCACATGACTGCAAGTTCACAAGCACAGCATTGCGCGTTGCAGCTTCCTTGGGCTTGATCATATGAGTATGCACACTGGACTTTTGGATGTGGATGATGATCTGGATCAGCACTGATTGTAAACCTAACCTTCTGTGGGCCATACCCTACCTCTCCAAACAGTTTCATCAAAAAAAATTCAATACTATTTGAGTTATGCTGTAAACAAACCAGCCAACCAATAAACAAACCAGTCAACAGACTCTACTAAAAACATTACCTCCCCCTCGGTGTAGACTTACAGACTTTTCCTGCTTTTCTCTGTGTCTTTTCAAACCAGAGAACAGGTACCATATTAGAAACAAAATTAAGAGATGAGTGTCACAAAACTCTCTCACTCATTACTCCAGATTGAGACTGTAGAAAGAAATTCTTGATAAAATGATATAGTGCTATGTTATGTATTTGCAAAACTGTTTAAAAGATTGTTTAATCTGCTTGACCTTTATAATGGCTTGACCTGTGCACTAGAAATGCTGTGTGTCTGAGTGCAGACTCAGAACAACAGGAAGTTGCGCAGATGCAGACTGAGATGAGTGGACTGTCTGCAAGAAGAGATGTGAGGAGGTAACATGCAGGACGGTTAAGTCCAACAAGACACAAAAAGAGACCATTTCTGTGAAAATGCAATGTACGGAAGAAGTCTATTACGACATCTGCCATTTTAAAAGCACAGTACTTCCTGTGGTTTCTCCCTAATATTGCTCTCAGCATTTTTTTCCTTGTTTTAGTATTTTTTTTACTGTGCACATCTAAAGAAAAAACTAATGCTGTAAATGTTTTTGCACCTGAATAAATACAATCCGTCTTTCTCCTCTATGTCTATATCACCACAGATTTCGTCCTTGTTACCTCAAAGTGCCTCTTTCAGAAGCTGAATGGGGCCCTTTTCACCCTGAAAGCATTTAAATGTAGCTGGTAGGATATGGCCACTCTGTCTTCACTTTAGCAAGGTGTGTCAAGAGTTCAATGGTGTTTTGTGGAGCATGAAGCTCTACAACAGAAGCAATAGTGCACTGCAAGAAAATAAAGTGATAGTAATGCACCGACAACACCATATTTCCTAAAGAACATCTCTTGAGAAGAGACTTTTTTGATGTCTCGCCTTGATTTGAAGAGTCTTTTGTGCAGTACTTCGAAGGTGTCCCAAGAGGGATGGTGGTGAAGATGGTCTGAGATTTAAATAACAGTCTTGATCCAGATATCCACTGTAATATAAGTGTTGAAAGAACCCAAGGTGTAGATAAACAGTATTTATCAACACAACTATATCTATATGCTTTGCAGTGATGAAGTTTATAGCATGGTCGTTGTTTTGTTTACCTGGATGTTCATGTCCCTGTAGGGTTCAAATTCAAAGGGGCATAATGCAACATTTCACGATGATGGGCAAGGCCCTCTGCCCTCAAACAGCTGCTGTGGCATACAATGATCGCTGCACATTTGGAAGATGACATGACCTCTGTCAAATGGTAGGTACTTGTAAACAAATACTACAGTGTCACATGTACAGCATATCTATTGCCTACTTCATGGTCCTTCTCCCTGTACTGAAAGATGAACCTTTCAACAAATTTTCCTGCATTTTTATTAATTCAGCAGCTTTTCCTTATCCATAAAAACTCTGTAGGTCTGGTGTGCCGATTTGTTCAGTTGACGTATGGCTTTAACTGAACAGGGTTTGAGTTTTTCCTCTGAAATTCATGGTTTACTTTGTTGAAACAAGGTAATAAAATACACAAAAATGTGTGGGAACAATTATCGGTAACACTTTACAATAAGGGTACATCAGACTGGCCTCACATAATCCACACCAATTTGTGATCACGTTCTGGAAGAAAAAAAACACTGGTGAGTGAGAGTAAACATGGTTTAGGTGGCTTAGGATTGTTCACAAACTACAACTAACTGATATAAATCATGCCAAAGGCTATCAAGTCCCAGAAACAGTCATTATCTATTATAGGTCATCCTTACATTCATAAGTGAAATATTAAATATCCACATAGGGAAATATCCTTTAGCTGAATGGGGAAATACCATAGGGGAAGACTTAATGGAAACAGATCCAACACAAGTTTCACAGTACCATGACTACTCAATGGTGGCCAGTGTTAGAAAGTATTTGCATTACATAACTTGATGCACTAACAAAACAAACATTTCAACAATTGCAGTATTCTGCTGACAGCTTTTATACATAAGAAATACAGTTGTGATCTGGGCATGAGGTCTCTATTTTACACAAAAAGTAAGCATGACCACAGAAAAAGCAAAGCACCTGCAGCACCAGTCAGATGTATAAAGCTGAGAATTCTCTTTACAGCTATTCTTTTGCATAATAAAAAAGGGAAGTACTAACCATTCAAAGTGGTCGGCCTTATTGGCAGGTCTCAGCTTCATTTTACCATGACACCTTGCACACGTCACTTTTTTTTTTAGCAAATGTTTCTTTTGGAGCCATTTTATTAACTTCAA